TCTGATTTTGAACGTAAACGGTTTATAGGATTTGAAGCAACACAGAACAGACCTATTATTTACGGTTGACGCTGTACGTCCCGGGTAGGTTATGGGATGATGTTTATACACGTCCAGATGCATTCGCGTTGTCGTTGCCGACAAAAGGGCGCAAAATAAACAAGTAAATAAATAAATAGGTTGATCATACACGGGTAACGCAAAACAGCACGGCGCGTAGAGGGTGGACGGAGAAGGGGAGGGGGAGGAAGGGAGGAAAGACAAGAGGAACGGGCAAACACACAGGATTCGAGGCTAGGGGACCGGGGGGGAGACAGGCGTTTCTCGATCCGCGGTAATTACTCACCGGGAAAGCACGTATGCGCATCTTGCTCTCCTTCTTCATCAAAGCACTGCTCTTCATCATGTCGGGTTTTCGGTCTCGGGCGCGTCAGAAGTATCTCTCCTCAGAAATGCCGTCCCGACGTGAAGGCTGCCTCGACGAGCGCGCGACGCCGCGTGCACATCGACGCACACGCACACGGACACACGCGCAGAGCGCGCGCGCGCGCGCGCACCACACGCACGAACACCACACACACACGTACACGCACACACACCAAACACACACGCGCACACACCGCTGTTGCGGGCCTGTGACTCTCTTAAGCGCGACGGGTGAAAATCATTTACGTATCTGGAACAGCCTGGAACAGCCGATGACGATCGCACGCCTTGTTTCCTGCTTCGTGTGCGGTATCAAGGCACGCGCGATCACCAGCGATCACTGGACGGCACTGCTTATGGAGACAACGTGGTGAGGACCGACAACGACGGGTAGAAGTCCCTTCCTCTTTCTCTCCCGCTCCGCGGTCGAGCACATTTAACGACGCCTTTCCTAATCCCGTGGGCGAGCACTTATCTTTCTCAGTTTCACTGGCAGGTGAAACGTCGAGGCTGCGAGGAATAAAGGATGCGCGCTTTCGATGATTGAAGAGAAGAGCGACGACGAGCGGACCGCGAGAGGGAGGGAGAGAGAGAGAGAACGAGAGAGGGAAAGACGGAGAGGAGGGGGGAAGGAGACAAAAAGTGTGAGAGTGAGAGAGACAGAGGGAGAAACGGATGAACAAGCGAACACGATGAAGTCGAACGTGGTCGAACGAGT